ACAAGTAATGTTAGGGTTTCTTCTCCAACTTATTCTTCACAGGATCAATTTTTCTGTTAACTGGAAAATTCGAGCTTCCTGTTATTAAACGTAGAAAAGTCTTACGAGAATTTTGCGAGGGAGCCGCCGAGCCGTCTTGAATCAGATATTATACGGTTGAAACGACGCCGTTTCCATTCTTTCGCCTTTCACATTTTCCATATTGTTTTATCTATTTTATTTAAATTAATAAATAATAATAATATATTTCACAATTTGTTTGTTTTATTTAAAACATACAAATATATTTCACAATTTTTAAAATTGATTATCAAATATATATATATATATATCATCAACCTATTATGCTTATTTAAAAAAATGATCCCCTTCTCTTGAAAATACAAGAAGCTCCAACCCGTTAACAAAAACTTCAAATTATCATAGTCATAACCATCATGACCGCTTACATAATCTGCAAATAATATATCACCTTCTACATGAAGAAGTAAATAAATACACACACACACACACATAAATATATATTATATACACATGTATTGCTTACGAACTCTGAAGAAGCTATATTGAATAATAAAACAATCATCAGAAAATATAGATTATAAATATATATGTATCTATAGCAGAAGAGCTATCACCCCAGATTTTAACATTTTCTTGGGCAACAAGATCTTATTTATCTATTTTTCTAAAGAAAACACAGATTAACACAGTTGCATCACAGGACTATCAAACCAGCAACAAAGAGTAGAATCACCATCAAGTACATTAACATTTTTCCAACAAGATCTTATGAAAAAATAACAGATCTACTCAGTTGCATCAGAAGCACAAACTCGAGTTTCCCTGCCTTATTCGATCGACAGAAACAGTATAGCAGATTTGTTCTTCTCCCAGCACACCACAGTCTTCGGGCTTGATTATGCACATCTGCTATACGTCCTTTGGAAACTATACAATTCCCAGTTCTACAGAAAGCTGTTTAGACATCCTGAACACAAACACTCTCCACTTCGTTCCCATGAGCAAGCCTGCAAATAACTACTGGATGTCCTCAGGATTTTACTTGATGCAAGCTCCCAGGATTTGCTCCATATATGGAGATAATGGCTGTTAAGAACTGTTGTAGGCTATTTCTAGCACCCAGAACCATGATTAGCCATATTTTTTCTTCCAGCTCTGTTGCAGTCTTTGGCTCAGAGTGGACCTGCTAGATATCCAACAGAAATTAAACAATTCCCAAGTTTCATATAAGAATTATTATATCCACCAACGTGGATAAGAATATAAGCTCGACTTTATTTCCACCAACAAGCTCACCAGTCTCGTCGGGATTCACTGAATGCAAGCTCCCAGGATTTGCTCCACCTCTGGAGGCAATGTCTGTTAAGAACTGTTTTCCATGGAGAATGAATCTCCATAAAATTTCTTCACTTGCTCAGAATCTCTATGCATGACTGCTGGCTATTTCTTGCACCCAGAACCATGATTACCCGTATTTTTTCTTCCAGCTCCATTGCAGTCTTTGGCTCGGAGTGGACCTGCTAGATATCCAACAGCAATTAAACAATTCCCAAATTTCATATGAAAATTATCATATCCACCAATGTGGATAAGAATACAAGCTCGACTTTATTTCCGTCAACAAGCTCACCAATCTCGTAGGGATTCACTGAACGCAAGCTCCCAGGATTTGCTCAACCTCTGGAGGCAATGTCTGTTAAGAACTGTTGTCCATGGAGATAAGAATCTCTGTGAAGTTTTTCACTTGCTCAGAATCTCTATACATGATTGCTGGCTATTTCTTGCACCTGGAACCATGAAATACCTGTATTTTTTCTTCCAGCTCCATTGCAGTCTTTGGCTCGGAGTGGACATGTTAGCTATCCGAGCAATTAAACAATTCCAAAATTCACATTAGAAAATTACCATATCCACCAATATGGATAATAATACAGGTTCAACTTCATTTCCACCAACAAGCTCACCAGTGTCGTGAGGATTCACTGAATGCAAGCTCACAGGACTTATTCCAACTCTGGACAATATGAAGAACATACGATTTTTCTTCCGCTTTTATGCTTGCCCTTCACCTTTATTTTCTCTTGAAAACTTTGAAGCCCTCTTACCGCTGTCTTTCCTTCCTCTCCAAATGAACTGTTGTTCATGGAACTAATTTAGTTAAGAAGTCACAGCCAAATCAGCAACAATAACCATCCTTGCTCACATCACATGCTGCACATAGTTCGTTATCTTCACGAATCTCTTGAATTTCATTTTTTTTTAAATAAGAATCTCTTGAATTTCATAGCATCTTTACTTATGGTTGGTGGGCTATATATCTCATATACACGCCAATCTTATCTAGACAGTGAAATCGTGTAAATTGCAGCAGGCAATTCAAAGTCAAACAAGCGTTTAATGTTTCATCTTGACTAGCCAACGAGACACAACTGATACCTCATCTTGAGAACTTAGCATCTTGTTCCAACAATTCTTACAAATTATATCTAGACAGAAATCCTCCTCATAATCAAAGCTGCTGATACAGCATCCACAGTAAAAACAACGTTGTATGCAGAGTGTACAACCCCTGCAGAACTGAGAAGCATGAC